AAAAAAAAAAAAAAAAAACAACTAAATGAACCTGAATGGCCACACTTTCTGAAGAATAGCCTGTTATCTTCCACGGAAATGCAAAATTTGAAGATTTGGGATTACTTGATATGCAGCTTGGATTTATAGAAGGGCAAACTCTGATTTTTCTGCAATTAAAGTTTTACGACAAGTTTAGTCGAATAAAATCCTGTGAACCACATTTGTGCATTAGCTAGTTCTGATTGAACATCTGCCCTGTTTTGGCATCATACTTTTTCTTTAAGTTAGTTGAATCCATAACTACCTCCAAACATTAACTTTTTCGTTCATTTCAAGAAACATAAGTTTCACCATTCTAACACGAGTATGAATAGGGGTAAAGGCCCACGGCATACCTAGGTAATGTAGGCTTAAGCAAACCGTTTTTCGGTAGTCTAAATTCCTAAGGAACTACACGGTACAAGCATCCGACACTATCAACCCGAAAAAATTTTGTGACAGCTTCTTAGATACTGAACTCAATGAAATATATAATGCACCATGTACTTTCCAATACAGTAAGGTGAAACATCAATGTTATGACCATACAAATTAAACAAGTGCAGAAAACAAACCCAATCCGTTTCATGAAGCAGAACATGTTAGCAGGACAAACAAATGTAGCAATCATAATATCTGGAAAAACGAAGAGCAACAACGTAGTAACAGTAACAACAATAATGAAATCGAAAGAAAGAGAGACGAGTGTAGTTAATACAGTACCCATTTTCCAAGCCAGTGGGCAAATTCTGTGACTGAGAAAATGGAGTGTTGGAAAAAGATTGAGAATTGAAAGAAGGGATTGCTGAACAAGGCAATGGAGTCACGAGAGCCACAGCAACTGCCAAAGAGATTAGGGTTTTCGACCAATTTTGGGGCTTTGGTTTCGGATTTGTATCGTAACCATGGGTTTTGAGAGTACAGGCAATCGCACACCTTTTCAAAGGTAATGATAGTAAAAGTGGTGAATTTGCAGGAGAAATATGAAGGCGAAGGTGACCCGACGCCATGTTTGGGAGTGGAGAGATTAGAAAATTAGGAAGAAAGGAACAAGGAAAATGTTCCTCGGTTTTGCTATCAGCCAATGGCCTCGCCTTATGGAGCTATCTATGACTTTCCACAAATGATATATTGACACGAGTCTTAGTCATGTAATCAATATACATTAGACACTTTGTCAATACATAAATATGTAATGGAGAAGCCATCCAATAGCTTCATAGACTTTTTGAAATGTTCCTATCTATATAGATCAAACAAAATTTGTATTTATTTAAAATTCTAAACTAGTCTTGTAGTTTTGCCAAAAAATAATTGTGACCAAATAAGAAAAATATTATATATATAATTATATATTTTTTTTAATTTCCTTTAGGTAATTTTTTTTCTTTAAAATTCCTGGTGAGACTTCTATTTTTATTTAAGAAAGTGATATCATTAATTAATTCATTTTGTTGATAAAATTTTTCCAAAGTTTTTAATCAATTATTTTATTTATACATAATCTAATTTTATTTTATTTTAATGATGTGATATTAATAATTTGAGATTAAACCTAAAAGGGTCATTTGTTAAAACTATCATGTTAATTATTAGATTATAAAGAATCAAAATATGTATTATATGTATTGTTATAAAATATGGTAAACCAAAGAGTCATATGTTGAACCGCCATTTTATAATAAGTTTATAAAAATATTTATAATATATGTTGTCACAAATTATGATGAAAAATCATCTGATCATGTATCGAACTATGTGATATAGCCACACTGGCTCATAGCGGTTCATATCATCACGGTTCGAGACTATCAA